AGGTGTGGCTTTCGATCCTAAATATAGTTCTGTGATCATCGACCCTCATTGGTTCCCTGTAGCCGCAGGACGATAGTGGTGGCAGTCGAGGAAGGGTGCGGCAGCAGACACAGTGTATAAACAGAGTTATTTCCTATATTAATGAATTAAACTGATAAATTCGTGTAGTATTAGGACTTTTTGTTTACTGTTTCTTAAATCTATATAATTTATGTCTCAATAATAGCTATGGATAGCCGAATGGTAGCGTAGCTGTCACTTTGATTTTGCTGACGGTTTCCGAGTTTAATGATGTCGTAACTCGTAAGATGTCTAATTGAGACTGGAGGTCAGAGATCTTGAGAAGGTTGCAAATTGTTGCAGCGTTAGGCCTATATCATGTCACTCATGTGTAAACAAGCATGTAAAATATAACATATTGAGTGTCAATTCAGGAAATGTGGACTGGACAGTTATGTTCATATTTACCAAATTTAAATGAAAATTGCCTTCACGGGAAATATGCTACACCACACTGACCACAGTACTGCTACCTTCAATGCTCAATTCTCAATGGCATTATCATTATGATTATGGCACTAATATTAGCACTCAACCTGACATGGTTTCAAAGCAGAGGCTTTTTACAACACTTTTCTTTAACTTCACTTCTCGTTTCTTTGTTTGTCTGCCTGCCACAAATCTTATAATTGATATTTAACACATACTGAGGCTAGTATGGAATATATCTACTTGGCGAGCCGCGACTGAATTTTTCGAGCCGTGGTTTTATGGATTTGCCAGCCGTGATTCCATTAGATGTTTATGTTTTTTCTGCAAGATATTTTTGGCAGAAACGGTAAAGCAATGCGGATTGCGGAAGTTGAAAATTTTATGAAATGACATGTTTGCGAAGTGCAAACCGCGATTTTTTAATCAAACAAAAATTTATGACATTCGAGCCTCGAGATTTCATACTACTGAAATTATATGATATTAGAGCCGCGATATTTCAGACAAAAATAGGACTTTTCCAGACTAGTACTGAGGTACCTAACTAAAACTGTAACTTGTAAGACCTGTCCAATGATCCAATCATTCTTAAATTTAGCACACTTGCCTAAAGTTGGAGAGTGGAGACACATGAATCAATTGACAGAATACATAATTTTAAACATTTTTTGTAATCTTAGACAAAAAAAAAAAATATATTTTTAAGTATATAAAAATAAGATAAGAAATTCATTGCACATATTTAACATGGAGACACTGGTCTCTTTAGAAGTGTTGTCTTTAAGGGGAGGGTCTTGAGCACAAATCAACAATTTTGGCTTTCCCCGTTTTTATGCTCCTCTTAAAGCTGACATTCTGGCCTGTCCAACGGTTCCAAAACCATCTCTGTACAATACATTGATTTATGCATTCACAACATAGAAAAAGAGTGAGTTGTCGTGGACTCGTGGGATGTGGAGCTCTTTAACATTCTCTTGTAGGAAAATTACCGGGTAATACCGGCCAGGTACAAAAGAGTAAGGCTTGGTTGCTGGCTTGGTCTGTGGATGCTGCACTTTAGTCACCCACTACTTGCCAGTTGACACTAGTTGTCATGCGGGAAGGTGCTCATGCAGTCGTTCTCTGCATATGAGTGAATTTGAGCTCAATCAACACCTTGCCTGGTATCTTTGCTACCATAAAGGCCTATATAGCGCGCTGCGGGTGCTTGGTGCTTTGTTGCGCTGTCCTGAACAGTTGCATATGCTCACTGCAAACCTATCTCCTCCTAGAGTTTTTAAGCTACAGCAATGAGAGATTAACCATTTTGTTTGCAAAGAAACGATCTAGAGATTGGTTGTAGGCTTGTAGCTTTTTTGTAATTTTGCTATAATTTGGATTCCATTTTGAAAAAAAGAGGGTGCAGGGGGTGAAAATCAAGAAATTTTTGAAAAATTTTCCAAAAATGCCTCCCCACTTACAAAAATTTGAATTTCCAAAGAGCAATGACCAATCGGTAGATATTGTCTTTACGGATCGAATTATATGCGTCTCAATGTTGTAGCTTGAAAATCACAGGAGGAGATAGATTTCTACTGTACCCCCCCTTTTTTGCTGTTTTTAAAGAATTTCACATTTTCTTTCATTTTTTTTGAAAAATTGACATGAACAATAAAGTTATACATTTCAGTTTTACACATGTGTACCAAGTTTCTAAGTGATCTGTCTGTAAATAACCGAGAAATTTTGCTCAAGATGCTTCCCAGTTCCCTCAAAAAAGTAATTTTTAAAAACATATTTAAACTTCCTGAAGTTCATGTTTGAGTCCTACAAGTAGATCAGTAAAGTATCATGGATACCAGCATTATCATACACGAGAGAAATTGGTTGAGTATCATGAGTAGATGAGGAAATTAAAGATGAACTGATTCTAAAAAATTCTGTGGTTTGTTACTATACTTGATCACATCCACAACACCAATGTTGCTGGCCTTCAAAATAATCTATTCCATAAACATAAATTAGCTTAAGATGGCAGAATTTTTCTGTTAAAATGCATACTAATAAAGACCAGAGAATGCATTTATTCCAATTTGCTGGCAGCCTGCAGGGAATCAAAATTATTCAGATGACATTAATAGATCAAAAGGCTGGCAAATTCCAGCTCTCTGTTTTAAACTACCAAAATTGTTTGAACTTTGAGATAGGTTTCAGAGACATTTTCTGTTTATGTATCATGTACTGTTACTAATGTCTACCAATATTTCATTCACCAATGCTTCTATTAACTTTGAAATGAATGTCAATACATTCAAAACGTCATTAAATATATCATAAATCCTTGCTGAGACCTGCCTTTTGATCTATTAACGTCACCTGATGAATTTTGATTCTCTGCAAATTGGAATATAATGCATTCTCTGGTCATTATTTGCATGCATTTCTATAAAAATAAGTGAACAACATCTTTCTGACTTTCTAGAGCGAATAAAACAAGCTTTTTATTCATTATGTGGTTATCAAACAATACAAATCCTAGTTCTGACTTCTGACCAGTATTAAATGGTTTTTAGTGACCATCAGCAAGGTTTATGCAATTGCTCCCATAGTGGGCACTGGTCAGTGGCAAGCACAAGTTTTTAGATTCATTCATTTGTTATTTCCTCATGTACTGAAGATTTGAACCAATATTTAATGTTTTATGATTCTGGTATCAATGATACTATACTGGTCTGCATATAGGACTTGTAAATGAGCTTGTCTAAAGAATTCTCTGCTTTACCACTATGATTGCTGCTGAGTGTGACTTATCAATATTGTATTGTTGACCAATGATGATAGTTTAGCCTTCAGTCAAATACTTTATTTGACTTACACTTACTAACCATTTGATGTACACCATTACAGTACGGTACTAACACTAACTAACTTTCCAGTACTGACAATCAGATCCTCAGAAGTAATGGTTACTATTGGATTGATTCTAACCAATACTTAAAGTGGTAGAACTCATTAAACTAGAACCAATCACAAAGTTTTTTTTTACTTATTTCTCCTTAACCCTTAGATGCACAAGTGACTAGATTCTATAATTTTCTTTAATGGGTTATAAATGACCATTATTAAAATTGACATGTTTTTATGCCAATTTTGGAATTTCAATTAATCATGCATGTTGCTATAATATGTAATATTTGGATTTTGAAAGGGTTATATGGTTAACAAGTACCTACTACTCATATATAATGCTGTAAAATTTTTAGTTGAAGTTTCTGGACCTTCTCTTCATAATTTGGTTGAATGTTTTGATCCAATCAAATGAACTGACTAGATCAATCTTGAATATATTAACTATTGAATTTAGCATTGCTAGTTAAGGAGTACAATGTCGAGCTTATGCAGGAAAACAGCCAACCAATACTGTGCAACTTTTTGTAACTTTCAGGACAGAACAATAGGATCTAAATTTGCATTGCAAGGTGGTAATGATAAACATTTCATTAGTCTTGAAGTTTTCAATTGAAATACATTATTTTAGTGCTCAATCAGATGCATATTCCAGTTTTTAAATGTATAAAATATTTTCTTGGACCTAGGAATTGTGCCAGAGTGTACACTGGAACACTGCCTGATGTTAGGTTAATATACAATTCCTCAGTGGGATATTTGGGCATAAGAATGAAATGACTCCATTTTTCTATTTATGCATTAGGTATATATTTTAACTCGAAAATATTTGCAACATTATTTAAAATTCTTTACTTAATTCATCTTAGTTGCACTGCATTGACATCTTTCAGACAATATGAAATTTTATCTTCATCTGCTAAGCCTCAGATATGATGATAAGATATGTCATGTTATCTATCTAGTGCTTCCTGTTGCAGCTTTGTGATCTGCCTTGATGTTGTTTTTGATACCCGTATTCAATTATTTCTCTAGCACTTGCTTTTCACTTCATTTGAGCAGCAGATTTTGATATATTTCCATTTAAAAATGAATTTGGCATCATTTTATGTAATTTATAGTAATGTTGTAGCAGTTGATTCTCTAATGTTGGGTGATATACTGATATTAGAATGAATCTTGAGAATGCATCATAATTTTGTGGCTTCTAATTATAGGTAATTAGTAACCATTTATTTTGTGTTTCATTACCTAGTGTAGGTACTTCAATTGGTGCTGATAAATTTTCCAAACATTTGCTAAATTTTCTCTATAGAATGCATCTTTTGATTGAATGACAGTGTCTCATAAATTTTTATTTTTCACTGAGCCCTTTATCTCCATTTGTGATAAGGAGTTGGCTTTTGGCTGATAACATTACGTATATCTACTGCCGGAATGTTCTAAGTTGATATGGAGGCAGCTCGGGCTGCTGGTTCACTTTAGTAATTGTCTTCTCATTACCATTACTGCACTTCAGTGTTGCATGATTGTTATTGTTTCTTTGCTGTTCATTTGTTATCAAAGTGAATTGAAAGAAATATTTTAGACCAGTTGAAACTTGCCTAGTTAACAAATTCAAGATTTATTGATAAAAGTATATAATCCAACAGAGTCTGCAGATTTCAAACTTATTTTTCAGCAAAAATTTTAAAATAAAGTGCACACACAGAGTTTCATTGGAATAAAAAGTTATAGATCTGAGGCAAAATGGAAGCCAGTCAGATGAATACTGGAGGAGGGATGCCTGTGGTGAAGGAGGTCCGCATCCTAGAGTCAGCTGAGGACATCCAGGACCGACGTGAGCAAGTGCTGTCCCGCTATCAGCAGTTCCGGAGTGAAGCCAGGATCAAGAGGGAGAAGCTTGAAGACTCCCGAAAGTTCCAGGTATGTGTACTTGTAGAATATTAATAATTTTGGAGTATTTTTCACTCCTTATTATCTATCACAAAACTACTGTGTTATGATTTCATGTATCATAAGCCTGTCTTTCCACTATGAGTGAAAATGGTATAAACTATTAAATATTCTGGTGTTGAATCAGTCAAGATAAATGTGTATTTTAAATGGTGCAAGCATAATTTGATGTTTACGAACCTAACTTTTGTGACTACTTTGTGTTAACAGTATTTCAAGCGTGATGCTGAGGAATTGGAGTCCTGGATCCACGAGAAGCTGCAGGCTGCATCGGACGAGTCCTACAAGGACCCGACTAACCTGCAGGCCAAGATCCAGAAACACCAGGCATTTGAGGCTGAGGTGGCTGCTCACTCCAACGCCATTGTTGTGCTTGACAACACCGGATCTGAGATGATCAAGAATCAGCACTTTGCTTCTGAGATCATCCATCAGAAATTGGGTTAGTGGAAAATTTTTAAATTATGAATTACTCATTTCTATTACGTACCGTACACCGGATCTGAGATGATCAAGAATCAGCACTTTGCTTCTGAGATCATTCATCAGAAATTGGGTTAGTGGAAAAAATGTATCGATTAGCTCTGTTTTAACTTGCATGTTCTAAAAATTCTGAATTACTCATTTCTATTATATGAAATGACAATTTGATTCAGCAGCTTTTGGCTTCAGACTAATGTGTGAGAAAAATTTTCCTTTGAAAATTCCTTCTTGAACCTCTGACGTTTGTGAGAAACTTTTGGTTCTGAGCCATATCATAGCTGTTGACTTGATGTTTAAGATATGAATTATTGAAACTGGTTTGACTAGCTTTATTCATCATCATTTATCATTTGAATAAAAAATAGGCAAGAAATAGTACTTTATTTTTCTAATATCATTATTTCAAAGTGGATGTGGGATAAATTTTAGTACTTCTCATGCTTTGATTCGTTCAATGAAGGAAATTTGGCTGATTTTTTTTTTTTTCATTTAGGTTTGTTCATTTTCTTTTCAGCCTGTGCAAATACCTGTTTTTTAACACATACTGATCACCTGTTTACTATGGCTCCCTGCTTTGCCCATTAGGATGTACTCAGTTCCCACCCCTTCAAATGTTTTCACTATATCTTTGAGTGAATTGTAGTGAAAATATGATTTTTGCAGCTATTTGAGCCTTGAAATATTTTCACAGTTTGAACACACCTATCTAACACTGTAAACCTTAAATATAGCAGAAGGCTAATAAGAATAACAGAGCTTGCTCTACGGTACCTGCACATTATATGTCAGATTATGTTCTTATCAAATGCATAACCGAGAGCTCAATCTTTGTTTTTTTTTTTTGTAATTGTATCTTCATTAAATCAGTATATGCTTTACTAATAAGCAGATCAAAATTGTATATTCCAGAGGAGCTGCATCGTCTCTGGGAACTGCTTCTCAGTCGTCTGGCTGACAAAGGCTTGCGTCTCCAGCAAGCCCTTGTTCTGGTGCAGTTCACGAGGCAGTGCGACGAGGTGCTCTACTGGGTCACGGACAAGGAGGCTTTTGTCACCAGCGAAGAGTTCGGCACGGACCTCGAACACGTCGAGGTGCTGCAGCGCAAGTTTGATGAGTTCCAGAAAGACATGGCTGCCCAAGAATACCGTGTCACTGAGGTCAACGGTCTTGCTGCTAAACTGCTGGAGGAAGGCCACCCTGAGGCACAGGTTATCACCAAGCGCCGTCAGGAACTCGAGGAAGCCTGGAACCGTCTTCGTCAGTTTGCACTTATGAGGCAGGAGAAGCTCTTGGGCGCTCACGAGATCCAGCGATTCAACCGCGATGCTGACGAGACCCTAGCCTGGATCGGTGAGAAGGCCGTCATGCTGAGTGCTGATGATTACGGTCGAGACTTGGCGTCTGTGCAGGCGTTGCAGCGCAAGCACGAGGGCCTAGAAAGAGATCTCGCCGCTCTTGAAGACAAGGTATCGACCCTAGGCCACGAGGCAACTCGTCTGTGCGGCATTCATGCCCCTCATGCCGACCAGATCAAGAACAAGCTTGCTGAGATTGAAAACTCATGGACGACCCTCACTAGCAAAGCTCAGGACCGCCGACTCAAGCTTGACGAGTCCTATTATTTGCATCGCTTCTTGGCTGATTTCCGTGATCTTGTGTCATGGATGAACGACATGCGCGCCGTCATTGGGGCGGATGAACTTGCCAAGGATGTTGCTGGTGCTGAGGCCTTGCTGGAACGTCATCAAGAGCACAAGGGTGAAGTAGATGCTCGCGAAGACAGTTTCAAGGCCACCCAACAGGCTGGACTAACTATTCTCGAGAACAAAGACCATCCTGCCGCTGCTGAAGTAAAGGAGAAACTCGAAACTCTAGCAAGCGAGAAGGACGCGCTTCTGAGCGTGTGGGAGGAGCGGCGCGTTCTGTACGAGCAGTGCATGGATTTGCAGCTCTTCTACCGCGACACGGAGCAGGCTGACACCTGGATGGCCAAACAGGAAGCCTTCCTCGAGAATCAAGACCTAGGCGACTCGCTCGACTCAGTTGAAGCTCTCATTAAGAAGCATGAAGATTTTGAAAAGAGCTTGGCTGCTCAGGAAGAGAAGATCAAGGCGTTGGATGAATTTGCCACGAAGCTAATGGAAGGTCAGCATTACGCGGCTGAAGATGTTGCTCATCGTCGTGAACAGCTTCTGGAGCGCCGATCTGCGCTGCTTGAGAAGAGCAAGCAACGTCGTATCATGCTAGAGAACAGCTTCAGGCTTCAGCAGTTCGAGCGTGATTGCGATGAAACTAAAGGTTGGATCAACGAAAAACTGAAGTTCGCCACAGACGACAGCTACTTGGATCCCACCAACCTGAATGGCAAGGTACAAAAGCACCAGAACTTTGACCAGGAACTCAACGCAAATAAATCGCGCATTGATGAGATCACAAGTACTGGCAAGGATTTGCTTGACTCCAATCACTACGCAAGCGACCGCATCAGCAGCCGCATGGAGGAGATCATTAATCTTTGGGCTTCGTTAGAAGACGCTACCAAGAGCAAGGGCTCGAAGTTGGAGGAGGCCTCTCAGCAGCAGCAATTTAACCGTGGCCTCGAGGACATTGAGCTTTGGTTGTCTGAGATTGAAGGCCAGCTAATGAGCGAGGACTACGGCAAGGACTTGACTGGAGTCCAGAACCTGATCAAGAAACAGGCGTTGTTGGAAGCAGATGTTGGTGCTCACCAGGACAGGATCGATGGCGTGAGGATTCAGGCCACGCAATTCGTTGAACGCGGACACTTCGATGCCGAAAACATCAAGAACAAGCAGGTCGCTCTCCAAGAACGCTACAATAACCTGCAAAAGCCTATTGCTGTACGCAAGCAGCGCCTGAAAGACTCTCTGCTTGTTCAGCAGCTTTTCCGTGATATTGAAGACGAGGAAGTCTGGATTCGCGAGAAGGAGCCCATCGCTGCCTCCACCAACCGCGGTCGCGATCTCATTGGCGTTCAGAACTTGATCAAGAAACACCAGGCTGTGTTGGCTGAAATTAACAACCACGAAAATCGAATTGTTGCCGTCACCCTTTCCGGTGAGGAGATGATAAGCGACGGTCATTTTGCTGCTGATGAGATCAAGCAACGCTTGAACATCCTCAACCAGCACTGGTCGCTGCTCAAGGATCGCGCCTCTAAGCGTAAGCAGGACTTGGATGATTCACTCCAAGCTCACCAGTACTTCGCTGACGCCAATGAAGCCGAATCTTGGATGAAGGAGAAAGAGCCCATTGCGTCAGGAGGAGACTTTGGCAAAGACGAAGACAGCTCCGAAGCTTTGCTTAAGAAACATGAAGCTCTCATGAGTGATTTGCAGGCATTCAGCTCGACCATCGGATCTTTGGACGAGCAAGCCAACGCGTGCCGCCAGCACGACTCTGCTGCTGCTGACATCTCAGGCAAGGAGTGCGTTGTTGCGCTTTATGATTATGTCGAAAAATCTCCTCGTGAGGTCTCCATGAAGAAAAACGACGTACTTACGCTTTTGAATGACAACAACAAGGACTGGTGGAAAGTTGAAGTGAACGACCGACAAGGTTTTGTGCCTGCCGCTTACGTGAAGAAAATCGACTCGGGCCTGACTGCATCGCAGCAGAATCTTGCTGATGCCAATAACATCATGGCTCGCCAGAACCAGATCAGGGCGCAGTACGAAAACCTCATGGCCCTCGCAAATGCTCGGCACAAGAAGCTGAGTGAGAGCGTGCAAGCGTACGTCTTGGTCCGCGAGGCTGCTGATCTCGCCCAATGGATCAAGGATAAAGAGCAACATGCTCAAGTGGAGGATGTTGGAGAGGACTTGGAACAGGTGAAGATTGATTGCAATATTCCTTTAGTTTTATAATATTTATAAATTATTTTATACTTTTTAATTTATAATGTTTAGGCCATTGAAGAATTTTGATGCTTATGACAATTTTCGAGTTGAGCTCTGAAATAGAGATGTAGATTGCCACGAAACAATTTAACTCACATCTAAAATATCTGGTACTAGTTTTTTGTGTTAACAAATGTCAAGAAAATAAGTTTTTTTTATCATTTAATTTTCTACTGCTTTCTCATGGCTTTGGCAGTATTCAATTATTTTCTTCTTGACTTCTATTTGAAATTATGAGATTAGAATACCAAATAGAATCTATGATTTTCTTAGTCATTACGGTTGTTATGCTTGCTTTTAATTTTAATTTTACGTGATTTTTTAGTTCACGACGAGTCTCTGTTTCCTTTCAGTATGTTACAGCTCAAAAAATATTACCTTTACCTCTCTGTCATTATGCTTGCCTCTCTGGGTAGTCGTTTATTCTTTGCAGTTATTCCAGAGTGCCAGAAATTTTATTCCAAGTCTACAATTATTTGAGGTTGATATTGCTTAAGCATTTCCCCCGTGGATAATTTACTTACAAATCAATAATTAAAAATAGGGCAAATGATGGACTGACTTCGATTTTTCGTTATTTCACCAATGAATGCAAATAAAATGTCTATCTTGTCTGATAACGATGCTAAGGTGGAGGTGATGCAGAAGAAGTTTGACGACTTCAAGTCCGACTTGCAAGCGAACGAAGTGCGTCTCGCCGAGATGAACGAGATCGCCATGCAGCTCATGAGCGTCGGCCAGACTGAGGCGGCGCTCAAAATCCAAACTCAGATTGAAGACCTCAACACCAAGTGGACCTCCCTGCAGCAAATGGCTCAGGTACGGTCTATAGGTGCTACCAAGAACCCTGGTCTTGACAGGCAGACAGAAGTCTAAACGCATCGCGCAGTTCAAAGTTAGACGAATCTCTGTTACAGTTATACCATACATTCATGATCTCTAAGCAAACGGTTCCTGAAGTAACTGTGTAGGCTCATGTTACATAGAAATATCTATATATTCTTATTGACTCGCACTCGCGGTCAAGTCTCTTCCATGTACAATCCGTGGCAGCTTCGCAATGGGACTTTCTCGAATACTTTTCTGGATGACACATTTTCTTTACTAATTTCGGTTTTACCATTCCTCTACTTCGTGTAACGTAATATTTTTGTTAAATATTCATTCTAAAATCTTTCTCTAAAATTCGAGTGAGGTCAAACAATTGACGAAGTTCTAAAAAATCGGTCTAATCTATACAATATCATAGAAAATGTTACCTTGCTGCTCTATTTTATTTCAGAATTCTTCTCTTAAAACCCTGTAGAAATTAACTGTAAACAATTAACGAAATTATTAAAATTGAGTTACATCCTTTCTTCTTCCATAAATTTCATATTCCTGTTATATATTCGTTTTAAAATCTGTCTCTGAAATCTTAGTCTAAACAATTAACGGAATATTATTCCGTAGGAGCGTCAGTCGCAGCTGGGTTCAGCTCACGAGGTGCAGCGTTTCCACCGCGACGTGGACGAGACCAAGGACTGGATCCAGGAGAAAGATGAGGCTCTTAACAACGATGATTGTGGCAAGGACCTGCGATCTGTTCAGGCTCTGCAGCGCAAACATGAAGGTCGGCATATCAGAATTACTTCCTAACAAATTAAAATCTCAATTTTTGGTAATCGTGGGCGATTGAGAGAAATCATTCAAGATTATGCTGAATGCATTGACGAAAGCCCGCTTCTGCTTGTTAATATTCCGCCCCCATACATCGTTCTGATTTCAGTCTTCAACTAAGATTAAGCCATGGCAAAAAAAGAGTCAGTTGACGATGACGTTTTGATCACACATTTTTTACTCCCTAACAAGATCTGTTTGACAAAAACATAGTGTGACGAAGAAAAGGTTATGAAGTTATATTAAAAACCTTTTTTATGTTTAAAAATACTTATGCTTTTTTGCTCTAACTACTTGAAAACTTCTGATTTCAACGTAATTATTATGTCTGTTTTCTTATGATTTCGTAAAGATGTGATATAGTACTTGAATAATACGATCCATTGCCGTAGGTACTCTTTCCTTAATCTTGCACAATCTCTGTTGAATTATATAGTGAACATTGCAAGATTCTTTCCTTAACTCAACGTAATTAATTCTTTTACGGAAATTAATGCTTGTGCACAATATCCATCTAAATTTGGTTGGCATTTCTGTAGTTACCTATGGCCTCTCTCGTGTCTCCATATTCAGTACCTTGGAATGCACTAGCTCATTTACCATCTTCTACCTTCACGCACGATATTGATCGCTCATATTTAGTACCATGTAATTCAATTGGTCATATAACTATGCAGTAAAGTCACGTACGATATTCAAGGCTCTCGTTCAGTACCTTGTTATTCAGTCGCTGGTTTTAATTTCAACCACCGCCGTGTACTATTTTCATAACGGTACTCACGACGCAGGTCTGGAGCGCGACTTGGCTGCCCTGGGCGACAAGATACGACAGCTTGACGAGACCGCTAACCGCCTCATGCAGACGCACCCCGAGGCTGCTGACACCATTTATGGCAAGCAGCGCGAGATCAACGAGGAGTGGACCCAGATCACGGCTAAGGTCCTCTTCTCAACTTGATTGTGATCATGAACCATAATTATATCAATCGCTCTTTTCAGATATTTTTTTGATATTTCATAGATTTATGAAAGGTAATATAGAATCACGGCGGAAGTTTTGTTGCTAACTAGAATATTTTCTGAAGATATGAGAAGAATATTTTATGGTTTAAGTGATCAAGTTTGGTGAATTGTCTCATATTGTTTTGCGAAAATGTTAGAACTTTCAATAATTTGGTTTGCATATTTTTTTTCATTATTTTTTAGAAAGCATGATTATCGTAGTCATGAAGTAACTTAATTATATCTGCTGTAAAAATATGTAAAAAAACTATTGATTTATCTTACACTACAATAGAATGTTTCTGTAGAAATTGATTCACTCATAGAACCTCAGGTATCGTGGAATGACAGTGAAATATCGAGTTGAGAGTTTCTCAACAATAAATTGTAAATACTTATATCATTAGTCTGCTTATATCGCAAGTTCACAAGGAATTTAAAAGCAAAGAAAACGCCAAGAAAATTCACCATATCGATATTGAAAACGTTTCGGAGTCCAGCTCCATCATCAGTTCGACTAAACTAAAAATGAATAAAATCACTTCAAAAGTCAAAATTCAAAGACAGACATAAAACCTAAACAAGACCTAACATTATATCGAAATAAACAGGACTAGTTATGAACAACTTAGTCC